TTTACGTTTTGACTAAAATACTGAAAATAATCATAATATACAGGGTTTCCGCAAAGTTGGGGTTTCCTTTACACGACGTTTAGACATTGAGAAAACAAGCGAATTTTCTTAGTAGCATGTACACCAATGGCTTAAGAGAACCGCGATATTGAGCTCCGTAAACTCAATCAAACCTGAACCAAACCAAAGCCGGTCCTCTCCTATCCCTCGATCACGTTCATAGCGTCAGCGCCAGAATACAGTTATACGACGTATGACTACGATGTAAATACGGATTTTACGACAGAGCCGTACTTGGAATCAATTCAATTGAACAGTGAGTACTTTTTCATTTATTTTTTTTAATTGTTCGCAACTTTGTTATATCAAGCGTGGTGTGACTGAAAAGGAAAACACTAACTTTGCGGACACCCTGTATTAGAACCAGAAAAAAGCGACTCATTTTCACTAATAGTGTACAGGGTCTTCCATTTGAAACATTGTTTATTGTCAAGGTAATAAAACGTGTATACTCAACTTCAGCTCAATTAGTCAAGGTTAAAAGGCTCAAAATTCAGTTTCAGATTTATCTTACATATACTAACAATACTAACAGGTCAAGCTAAGATAAAGCTTGCAATGACGAGGATAAACTGCATCATCTTCGCAGATGGATGAAAGTAAACAAAATATTCCAGAAAAATGCAGCTGTATCTAAGTGAAGGTTTAGGTCATTCTAGGATGTCTGAATTTTCTTCCATCAGTATCTCTAGTGTTCTAATACTCTTCCAAATTTTCGATTACTAGTGTGATATTAAATTAGTATTCCGCGAGCATTTTTAAGCAGAAGGACTTCCTAATAAATTCTCTCGATATCTGCTAGTGCTCGCGGCTTTTCGACTTTTAAGATGAACTGCTTCGGTTCACATTACAAAGTAGCAAAGTACAATCTGTAAATGCAGCAGAAAAGCGACAGAAACTGCTGAAAATGTAAAAAATGAAAGCTCCAAGTGGCTGTAAAAATAGTTAGAGCTCCTTGGAGACGAAGTTTTACAGCTCACCGACAAAAGCACATCTGGCTTAACTGCCTTAAAATAAAGTTAATGAAATACCGTACTTAGCATATTAATCCTGAGCCTCTTACAACCTGAATTTGATATCATCCAGATCTTAGGTGATTTCCACATAACGTACGTTTTATGCTTCAAAGTATGTAGGAAATTCATAATATTAGACTGAATATTATTGACGTGATAAACAAGATAAAAATGGTAGAATTTTCTTGAGAGAGTTTGGACGAAATCCTGGAGAAAATGTATTTAGATTTTCTGACATCTATCAATAATAGCGACAGCCAATGCCGTAGAGGGGGTTCCGGGCCCAGGGTCCCGGGGAGAATTCCGAATGCTGCCCGTCACCTTTTTTCGATATTATGTTATATTCATTTATCATGTAACTTATTCAATCCTCAAGTATTATTTCGATGTTAATTTAAATAGCCTAGAAATTAACATTTTATGGTAATTTTATATTATTTCCTAGTTGAATGTCAATATGTAGAGGGCTATTTTTGGGTACATATTGAGAAGAAAACTTCATATAAATGTGTTTTATTTAAGCATCTTACTTTTGAGATTCAGGGTGGTAATGTTTAAAAAAATAACAGTGGCACGCCACTGAGTTTTCCTAAAATAATAGAAAAATAAATCTGTGCGCATTTATGAGCAGATTTGATTTCGGGAATTTTTTCTGTCCGACACACGGTTTTCTACTAACAAATAAAATATATTTCGCTGCATTGTGATATGCGTCATATTTTAACGATATTGTTATCATTATGCAGAGAAATTTACTTAGAAATGATTGGGAATGCAAAGAACAATTTTTATTTTGAGAGGCGTACCAACAATTTCTGCCAAAATAGGCAGGTAAATCTCCCCATCAATGCAATTCATGGAAATTAAATAAATGTGGTACCTAAAAAATGTCTCATGATACCTAGTACATGTACACTCATGCCAAATTTCATTTAAATATCTAAAGTGGTTATTACAGGTCTCGTATTAAGAATAATTGATTTATTTTCGAATGCTTTACTACCCTGTAACTCAACACTTACGACGATTAGGATAGGCATTTATATTAAGTCTTATTTTAAAAATGATCCCGAAAATCGCCCCTTTTAATATCGGTATCCAATTAGGAAAAATTGTATGTCACATGTGACTCTGAAGTAAGATATATGAAGTCAAAGAGTTTCATGATGCCTCATTTGAGTTTCCGAAAAGTTCCGCACGGGTATCACGTATCTTGAAAAGTGACATTATGCCGATTTCTTTTGACATTATGCTGTTTTTTTTTGACACTATGTAGGTTTTTCTACAAGATATTAACTTAGCACTTAGTTGTACCTGTTGCCTAAACGTCATGAGGCTCATTATCAATCTTTGGCCCCGATGTGATGTAAAATCTGATTCTGAGATGGCGTTACTGGAGGTCTAAGCTGTAAGTTGTATGTCTTGATGATAATTACATTGGGTTCTTATCAAATACACTTAATTGAGATTCAAAGCTAGATATTAGTTGCGGATCCACTTTTTCTTATCCATTCTGGAAATTACATATGCAGATTTGCTGAATTTCAAATATGAGAGAGATAAGAAATAATTATATTCACTGTACACTGTCGAATTACAAGCCTATCATGCTAACAGTAATTACACACAAAAAATAATATCTGAGGCTGTCAAGTTTTCGATGTGTCCGTGTACTTTTCAAACCACGTATGACGACTTAATCAGATGTATGAAAATGCTGTAAGATGTAGATTCTCAAATTTTGCAGGATTCTACTGTCAAAAATGATTTCTAAGGTCATACTTGAGGTCATAGAAAAATTGATTTTTTGATACCCTGAAACTTTCGTTAAGACATTTAAAAAACTGCGTGGCTGCTGACTATTCAGAATGTTCGGATATTTAATAGACAAGCTCGTATACTTGTTACATACGTTTTTATCAACCGTAAACCGATGATAACAGCCACCGGGGATGACAAGCAGATCTCCCGGCAGGATTTCAACCCTAATCCATTCGTCGAACTTGTCACGGATGTCGTAGTATCCACACCCCTCAAGGCAGATTCTGAATTCATCATACGTGTGGAAATGTTCGACGTAAAGTACTTTCAAATCATTCGGGTCGAGGTCCTCGATTTCTTCTATGCCTTGGTTGCCTCTCTCCTCTATCAGTTTACGGAATGTGGCGTCGAGTTGGAAGTTTTTCGGGTCCACCTGTTAAAAAAATTTTGTTTGTACTGACTAAATAAATAGTTACTTATTATACAAGGGAAAAAAGTACTAGGTTTTAGCTTGAGGTTGTAGGCGCAGCGGAGGGAGACAAAAACCGAAAGCTATAATTTAGTATCTTTCCGGTGTATAATACACAATTTTTTTCTGTGACGGGAAAAATGACAATTTAATATTGAAAAATTTTATTATTACAATATTTGAGTCAGAAAATTGTCGATGTGAAATTTGAATTTTGAAATAAGTAGCCTATGTTGTACTTACGAGTATAGCGACAATTAGACCTGCGTTGCTAAGGGAACTTTTAAAGTAATCAAATAGCTGTCAATTTAATTTTGTGATTTGATTTAAAAATTTTAAACTTAGTGCTTGCTTAGATGATATTTTTAATGCTATAAAGTAAAAAATGTCTGATTCCGAATTTTCTTTGACTCCACCGGAATTACTAGAAGTAGCCAAAGTAGTGACACAAAAATTATTGCCAGCTAAATACGAAACAATATCCGGGAAATAGTACTCGTTTTTTTCCCGGGAAAAAAGCAATTTCATAAAAAGTGATTTTGTTACTTGTTCCAAGAGATAAAATGTCAAACTTTTTTCCCGTCACAGAAAAAAAATATTTTTGGACCTGCAACCCATTCTTTTTAGGAATTATTAAAGCTGTGATACAGGATCATACGTTTCAAGAACGAGCAGCTCTTGTACATACCGTTCTGTTTAAAAAATAGTGCATGCCATATCTTGGTGGAGAAGAATGCTCTTATTGGCCGAGTACTTTTATACCCTGTATATAAGATTAGATAGGTAGATAAATATGCTTTATTGTCTGAAGAATAAAATTATTCTTGATAACAAAGCTAACTTTAAACTATAATATAATCATATAAGTGGATCTTAAGTAGGTGAATTATAGACAAGGTATAATATATAAGTTTTTGAGTTCACGGCGGAATATCTTTAAATTGTTAATATCTTTGATAGCATCAAGGAGACACATGTAAATTTTCAGGCCATTATAAATTATTGAGTCTTTCACAAGTGTTGTTTTAGGTACTACAAATTTGAGATCTTGTTTTCGTCTAGTATTATAAATTATATTTAATGTTTCAAATTTAGGTTTATTTTTAAAATAACAGTTACTGTTTCTAAAATGTACAATGATACTCCAGACATTATTTTAAGATTTACAAATAAAGGCTTGCATGTTGCTCTAGGATTGCTTTTAGTTATATATCTAATAGTTGGTTTTTGTAGAAGCACCTTTTGGGAACATACACACAAAAACCGAATGCTATAATATCTCAATTTACTTTCAAATAAGGCAGAGTAACTGCTGAAGGTGCATTGTGAAAAATTGTTCTTATAATGAAGGAAATCTTTGCAAGTTGAGTAAGTAATTTGTCTACATGATTAGTAAAATCTAATTTATGATCAATGGTCGGTCCCAAAAATTTGATGGTGTCTATTTTTTTGTATCAAATCATTATTAAATTTATAAAATAAAGGGAGCATATAACGTCATAAATTTTGTCTTAACATTGGAATCCAAATATTTGTTGTCACAATTTTTTTTGATTGATTGTATATCATTATGAATATTTGCCTTAATTTCATGTGTCTTTGTCTTGTCGAAGTATTGTGGTATCGATAGCAAAAACTACGAATTTAACATTTATGTTTAAGTTTAATAAATCGTTGATACAGATTAAGGAGATGATCGAACCTAATACTGATCCTTGGGGTACCCCTGCGTTTATATTAAATTTATTTGAAATATAATGCCTTGATAATTTTACATTATTTAAATATGTTTTAAACCCCTACTGAGCGGGACCGTGGCAAATGCTTGTTCCGGACTTTGTTGTATCCAGTATACAACTTCTTTCCGTTCAAGTGATTGTACATGCGTTAAGGAATACCTCAGTACCAATTGCCGGGTGGCGGTACAAGTCCGCCAACGGGCCACTTTAGTTCTATTTAATATCACTAACACGTAAAAAGAAGGTGGTAGACAAGGACCAGTCGACCAAGGTGATACCACCCGCTAGCTTTTCCCAGGGTGTCTTATAAATGTCCGCATGTTTCCACACCTATGCAGTCGGTTATCTTCCAAAACAAAGAAATTAATGATGATGAATCCCTCGAGCACTAAGAACTCCGGACGTAAACTCACTCCACTCTGGGAATGTCCGGGTGGAGGGTGGGCTCGAGGAAACAACATCGAAGGTAAAATTTGTTTTTCGAAGATCTGCGGGATTAACAGCAACATTGATGCTGTTCTTCACTACCTGCAATCCAATCGTCCCGCCGTGCTTTTCTCGGCGGAGACAAAAATCCCCGAGTCTGCACCGATTAAACATCTCAACTTCCCAAACTACGAGGTGCACTACAATCTGAGAAGGAACGGGGGAGTTGTGGCTTTTGTCCTAAGCAGTCTTTCCTGCTCCAGAGATGTTTTTTTGGAATCAGACCGGAAGGACATTCACAACTCTAAAACATCACCCAAAATTATTTGCTGCCTTTATCGCTCTCCCTCGGACCATAACTGGGATGACCGACTCGAATACCTCGTCGTCCAGATCGACTTCCTCAACATCAATCACCCCGCTTCAGAGATAGTTCTTCTCGGTGATTTCAATGCCCATAACGAGCTTTGGTTGGGCTCAAACAAGACCGATGCAGTAGGTCGTGCAGTCGAAGCGTTCGCTCTCACTCAAGGGCTGACCCAGCTGGCGACGAGCCCTACTTCTTCCCCCGCGTCTCACGCCAGTAGCCTGCTGGATCTCTTTCTGACCACGCATCCTGTCCCTTACAGTACTGCTGTTCTGCCCCCCTTGGGTAACTCAGATGAACTGCCGACTTCTGCCAAAGAGCCATTTGTTTAGGGCTAAGAATTACTTTTCTCCGGATGACCTTCTCACTCTATACAAGGCCCAGATAAGGCCTAGCCTTGAGTATTGCTCACACGTTTGGGGTGCTGCCGCCCCGTCTACATGATCCATGCTCGATGCTGTCCAGAGGAGGACGGTCCGACTGATCGATGACTCTTCTCTAACAGACAGTCTCGGGAGTCTTTCGCACCGGCGGGCCGGCGGCGATCTAGCTATTTTCTATCGCTACACCAACGGGCTTTGCTCCTCAGAGCTCTCTTTCATGATGCCGCCGTGCAATGTGCCTGCCAGACAGACCCGCCAGACTTTGGCGTCCCAACCTAACCGTGTCGAACTTCGTACATCAAGAACTGGCCTATACGACCGCTCCTTTGTCCCGAGGGTGTCGAGATTGTGGAACAATCTACAAGAGCAAGCTTTTCGAAGTTCTACTAACCTTAGACGTATTAACAAAATTTCTTTGGGATCATCATAGCAGCCGCGGTGTTCCGGCATTTAGGCTTCTGCCTGCGCGGCTGCTTCGATATATATATAAAAAAAACCTATTGAGTGAAGCTTCAGTACAACTATATTTGCTAATCCTTTTTAGTAGTATATCATGATTTACACATTCAGAAGTTTTGGAAAAGTCGCAAAAAGAGCTATTGAAAATTGGTTATCGTTTAAATTTGAGTATAACTGTTGCTTTTAAAATCCAAATTGGTTCTCACTTATAATTTTGTTGGATTTTCGAAAGTCTCTCAATCTAATTTGGACTATTTTTTCTATTATTTTTGCTATAACAGTAATTAAACTTATGGGTCTATAATTTTTCGGAAAACTATTGGTGTTTCTGAAAATTTTGGGTAATATTTGAGAGAAATATTTATGTTTTGTGAGCATATAAGATTCGCTATAATTTTTAAAGAAATTTCATCAATTCCGGATGATTTTTTATTTTTGATAGACCTTATACTTTTCCAATTCATAAATGTCAGTAGGACAAAGTGAAAATTGCTGATCTATACTTATATGGTTTATATTTGTTGAGTGGTAATCAGTATTTTGTAGATATAGTATTTTTTAGTTTTTCTGCTATTGTGCAGTAATAATTATTTCGTACATCAGAATTTATAGGTGGCTCCTTGATTTTATTGCCTACACTTATTATTTTCTGTTTATAAAAAGAATAATTATTTTTTTCTGAAGCTAAGCCTTGCTGATATATTTATTTTATGGTATGTGATACAGTAGTTATGAAAATTTCATTTTCTATAAATTTCTTGATATAGTGTAAGAACTTCCAATTTCGGGAAGATATTTTTAATACTTCTGTGATCCGCGGTTTTTTGCTCTTAATTTGAGCTTTTTGGTATGGGAAGGTTTCAACAAAAATATTTACAAGTTGATAATAAAATGCTAGGAAGTGACTGTGGGTAAGGAAGCCAGCATTTAAGTTCATTGTGATACATCTACATAGTTATGGTCACAAAAAGGTTTTTAAAAGTTCTGTTATCATCTTTAGTCTCTTTATTCTATATTTGATAAAATATTTTGCATAGTTGTCTCAAGATGGGGAAAAACAGATGGTGTGTGGCGTACTGGAGGCTAGGATAACTCTCTTCGGTGGCTAGAAACCGTAATGTCACTATGAGCTGCTCCTCAGTGCTGATGAGGTTTCCTAAATGTGTCATCCGCATCCATTCTCAAAAGTTAACATAATTGTTCTGATCTTCTACTGCCAGTGCTTGGACCAAGTTATTGTAGATCATGTTCAACTCACGGCGGGCGATCAACGGTTTTACCCACAGTCGCTTCTTTTTCGCTGTTAAAGCCACTACAGTGGCTGCCGAAGTAAAACTAGCTATATGAGCAACCTGAACGTCGTCGTCCATAGCTGTATTTGCACTACCTTCTTAAAATAGTATATAAATCTTTTGCGTAGTGTAATAGACTGTTTGACAACCATAACATTTCTTTTATGTATAACTTTTGTAATAATTTATAAAAGATCTTTGTTAAGGAACTTTTATAGGTAATGCCGGCCTAAGACGGCTTCAGGATCTGACAATCTAACAGATAAGACAGGGAAAGAAATAATTTAATTTGTATAATAGTAAGTAGAGGGTACGCAAAAACTGTTGGCTATATAATTGCAAAATCTCGGTGTCACGTCAATAACGTTTCACAATTACGACCCTGATGTTAAAACGTAAAAAGTAATTGAAAAATGCGTTCGTTTTGAATTTCCTTGAAACAAAGCTTCGAGTAGTAAGTCGTGCGGAAAGTTCATCGCACTCTCATAATGATATATCGCAAGGTGTATGTGAATATTATGTAGAAATTTCCAGCTCGTCATAAATTAACTTATGGGTAAATAAGACTGTTATATTAGAGGTTCATAGTGTGATAAGGGCGAGAGCGGAAACATTTTTTGACAGAGAACAGTTTTTATAGCCTCCCTCGAACAATATTGTAGCAAATTGACCTTTCCTGACTAACCTAGATAAGCGACATGGGAGAAAGGGACATATGGTCTATAATTCTCTATATCCATTTTTGTAGTTTCCTTGTCTATCATGTACTGAAGGTATTATGCCGCTGCTTGCAACCGAAACTTAATAGATTTTGTGCAACAGATCGAAGATCTCGAGTAAACACAGAAAGACCAATATTGGCGCAAAAAAAGTTTGTATAAAGAGCAACAAGTGAAGTTGGCCATTACATCAATATTGCGGAGTGTATTTTTCCGAAGCAGAGAAACTGATTTAATAAATTTTATCAGAATAAATTAAATCCTACTGATTTATCGAAATGGTGTGTGTACGAAGCAATAGTAGCAGTGCAGTTCCAAACTATTTTTATTCTCAGTCAGGGAGTTAGGTTTTAGATAAACATGTCCTCCTTTCGTCTGTCCGACCAAAGACAGTCAACCATGGATAGCTGTTTCGCGCTTTTTGGCTAATCCTCAGCATGGTCTAGGCTTGGGTGTCTCTAGGATAGCGCAAACCGCCGTCTACCACTTGAATCTACGAAACAGGGCGTCGCAGCCGACCTGTATAGTTTAGATAGTTCTTTGTTATGCCAACGATGATAGAGGCACCCATCGACCCTGGATAACATTTTTATTTTTGTTTATTTCCGAACATGTAACACGCTTAAAAGTGAAACGTGATTGCTGGTAAAGAAGCTTTAATTTATACCAATCCTTGATCAAAAATGTTTTTGGAATATTAAAATCAGACTAGCAGTCAAATTAACAAAGAAGTGTTTTCTCTTTATCAGGCCTATTTGCTCCGTGTTGACTCTCTTCCCTCCCTTCTTTTCTTTTCCTTTTTTTTTTGGATTTCGTGTATTATTGAGGGGGAAACAAGAAATTTTTCGGAAGGGTAAACACTGTTTTGTGTCTTTGATTCCTGTGGATGTCTGCAATATACGTGTATATGCAATGCTTCTCAAAAAGCCCCATCTTCCTGCTTATTTTTGGAACGGGTCAAGTTAGTAAGTTGAAATTTGGGATGATAAAAAATGCATGAATACTGTATTTTAGTGTAGAAGAGGCAACTGGAAATTTCAAGATGGTTGCTAAGCGCCATCTTGGGACATTCTTTCAGGCGATACCTTATTTTGAAGCTCCTTGTCAGTCTTTTATAACCTCTAGAAAGAAGTTTATTATTTATGAAAATGGTGAACAGGCGGGATGCTAAAGTTTTAACGTTTTTGGTCATTGAGTTATTTAAAACTTAAAAACAAATGATAAAAATGCTATATCAATCAATTAATTAATCTTCTTCTTTTGGGCGGGTCCATCTGAATTTGTAATTCCGTTTAAGCAAATTACAGATTTTGACATACTTTTAACGGAATATTGCTATAACTTACTACAGCGTTTTGATGAGTGGTTGTTGGGTTATAAGCGATTCAATGTAAAAAATCCCCAACAATGACAACCTACCACTCCAGTTTTAGGTCGGTGAGTCTATCTTTGGTTTTGCAACACCATTTTGTATGGTAGGGCAAAACCGGAGCACTTGACCCATTTCACATAGCATAGCGTATTGCCATGATTAAAATTGAATACTGAAGCGCAGCTAGTGAGCTATACATTATTCAAGAACTACGTGGATATCTTACACAATTTCTGAGTAGTTGACGGTTTTATTGGACATGAAATTTGAATGTCTCCCCAGTGGAGATATTGCCTCAGAACGAAGATTTTACCCTGAGTTGCATGAGTGATAATCAATCATAGATCTTTATAATGAACACCGTTTTTTAAAAAATACAAGTATCTTAGAAAGAAATCAACGAAAAATACAAGTATTCAGGTCGGTAAACTTTATATCCATTTATATTTGCAAATGTCCAACGATGATCATCTTTGAAATCCGAAACATCGGTCTTATTTACTTGTTTTTAGGAAAAGCAGTTGTTGCAGTTTAGTTGTATCAATTTTGCGTACCAGATATAGTTTATTGGTTCCATCATTCTGAAAATACAGCAATTCAAATAAATTCGTGATCAGCGACCCAAAACATGCAAAAATACCAATTTTCAGATCACTAGACTTTTGGACTTTTGCGCTAAATGACTATGAATACAATTTTAAACCACCACTAAAATAGTGCACCCTCTTTAGAGGGTACAACAGAAATATTTCTTTACTCCTTGTTCGTCCCTGACGATCTGAATGAGTTTTTTTCAATGGACATCATTATATGTGGACCTAACTGGTCACTATCTAGTCAAAATTTCGTTAATTACGCATTATCGTTCAACAGTATTTTCAGAGGTGGGAGAGAATAGCCCCAGTAAGGTTTTCCGCTGCTACATGGGTAAAGTCTGTCACCTCCGTCGTTTTGGATTGGAGTTTTCATGTAACAGTACTGAATAACAATAAACATACAATTCATTTTTGTCTTGAACAAGTGGGTTCTAGTTGTACGAGCCCCTTCCCACTTCAGTTGGCCCACTTCAAGATTTGTACCAGAATATGTATTTATAAACTAAACATGACGAAACTATTTAGTTCTAAAACAATTTATTTTCTCAAATACATTTTAGATATACTCTAGTCGTAAAAAATACATATTTGAAATCACTTAGACCTATAACTAATAGAACATCTGAACAAATAAACAATGTGCCAATAAATGCGCGAAGTTAACAAAGCAACAATTGAAAGATTAGCATTGGGTAACATCACCTTTATTTTTTATTACGGCTGAAATTCTTTGGGGCATAGTGTTAGCCAAGTTTTGGCAAAAATTTGGTGTAAAACAATCCCATATTTCTTGAAGCTTTTGTCTCAGTTCGGTGATTGTACGAGCAGGATGTTGCCGTAGAACCTTTTTCACCTCGTGCCACAAAGTTTCAATAGGTGACAGATCTGAACTGCTAGAAACCCATTTCAACAGTAATATATTATTTTCTTTCATCCAATTTATAGCCTTTTTTGGGGTATGGCACGCTGCACCATCTTGCTGAAACACAAAATCTTGGCCGGATGTCAAACATTCTTCCATCACTGGTAAAAGCGATTCTCCTAAAATTGCCAAATATGTATTTGTTTGTATCCACATTTCCATCAATAAAATGAAGTTTTCGTGCTCCTTTTGATGACATACTGCCTCAGACCATAATGGATGCTGGAAATTTCACTTTTCTCTTCAGACAGTCAACATGGAATGCTTCATTTTTTTTGCGAATAACTCTACTGCGACTGTCACCAACACAAACTTCGAATCGGGCCTAATCACTCCATTGTATTGCACACCATTGTTGAGTTGTCCATTGTCTATGTTCTTTAGCCCATCTAAGCCGATTTTTATTTTGCAGTGGAGTTAATAGTGGCTTTTCTTTGGCCTATAGATAAGTTGTGCAACTTTAGGGTTTTTACTTCACTTTTTTTTATAAGAACCTTGCAAGTGCTAAATCCCAGTTTGTGGATCTCTCTATGAGTTGTGGACCTCGAAATTTTCCTTCCAACAGCGTCACTCCACAAAGCCCTTAATTGTAAATAATTGGCACGCCTGTTTTTCACGATTATTCTTCATAATGCTCTTCGGTCGGCATTTGTGATATTACTTTTTTTTACATATCGTGGCTTAATATTAACTGAACCAGTTACGTTATATCTTCTAACAATATCACACTGTACCGCGATAAGTCTAACAAAGTTGCAATTTCTGAGTTTGATTTCCCAGAATTAAAAAATTTAATTATCAGTAACCGAATTTTCTCACTAATAACCTTTCCTCTACCCATTTTGAAAACCTTAACTAACCAAAACTATTTTAAACGTATTCTGACAGCTGTGATTAATAAAAATAATTGTCATGGCTTTTATTTTTCATAGCCACCTATGCGTTATAGACTTATTTTGCATTGAAATGAAAATAGGTTGATATGCTGTAATTGCAACATGTGTTATTTTTATGCTGCAAATTTGATTAGGGAGTGATAAAGTTGGTGTTTTCTACTATATATTATCAAAATATTCATTGTTAATATTTTAAACCTATAAGACCATGCTACATTTTTATTATTTGTGTTTGATAAGAAAAAAACTAAGATTTCAATAGTTGGGCCAACTGAAGTGGGAAGGGGCTCGTACTAAGCAAACAGGAATTAACAAGCAAGCAATCATTTTTTTACTTTCTAGGTGCCAAACATGTATCCCGCTGTAACATGTAACTAAGGTCATCATGTCACGTGGGCGTGAAGAACGCCAATAGGTACGCGTTTCTAGTATGTCAAGATCACATTAGGTTGCTAGGTGAGGCTGATATGTGGAATGGTTAATATCTCCTCGCTGCTAAAGTCTCCCGGTTTTCCCCTATATATTAAGGAGTATCCTACACCACGTGACTTACTTGGAAATACTCGACGCCCGTTGTCCGGTACAACTCCTCCAAGCTTACGAACTTCGGCGGTGTCCTATGGTGCTCCGCCCTAGGATCCTTAGGGTCTTCATCGATGAACCACGCGCGCACCATGGTGTCTTCAGCTTCGCTCAGCTCAATCTCAGCACATTACAATGCACATAAAACCACTCGTTTTTAATTTACTCCTAACGAGATAGGTAAACAGCGTCTGTTTGATTAGCAAACATTTACAAATTTTTATCATGTGACTTGATGCGCGCGGTTTGTGGTTTGTTGCTCTCACCGCGAGACGAGCTGCGTCCCCGCCTAGTCGCCTGCTCTTGCACTGCGCGCTAATGACAACAAAGCCGATTTTAGGAAATAGGTAACCTTCGGGACGCATCGATTGAATAAATTATTCGTGGATTGTTCTGGTGAATTGGAAAGGAGAGTTATGATGATCAGTGGCGTACTGATGGGTTAATATAGCAACTGTGTTAGCCTCTAATTTTTATCTCTCCCCAATAAATATGACATCCTTGGAACATTTCATTTTAGCACTTAATGGATCGTTTTGGAGCATCGTGTTATAGACCGAAAAGTACGCGAGTAATTCAAGTTACAAGTACTGACGTACTACGCGTTAGGGCGCGGCACTGGATGTCTTGCCTACTTATGCCAGGGCCCTTCTGCTAATTGACATAATGTAAATACAGTCTTCGATAATGCGTCAAAAGTAAATTGATCATTTATGATGATCATTATGGTTAATATTTATTAGGTACCTCATCCTAGGCGGAGGTGTCGATAACAATTGTGTATTTAGACTCCTACAATTTCTAAGAATCCCATGTTATATAGAAATGTATCTGATTTGCATTTGCGAAATATTTCTCAGAAACTTATATATATACGTTTTTAGAATGAAATACTGCAACTAGAATAGAAGCGCTACTTTCTCTCCAAATTTTACACGGTTCTAACCTCACTTTTTACTTTTGTTTCGCATTGCAATTGTTTCGGCATTGTTCCGGTAATCAGCTGATGATATCCAGATGTAACTTAATAATTGCTGGGTGAAAGATAATAGACGTCGAAAATATTAGGCGAGCTGCAGGTGAAGTTACATCTTGTGTTTCTGATTAATATTTTAGTTTTGCTATTACATCTTTTTGTGCATATTCCACGTGCATACGATTAATAGTCTAGGGTTTGCCTTTCATTTCTGACTCACAACTTCAAGTCATATTGAGACATTTTCTCAAATATAGTAATTATGTTTGCATATTCTGAACTATAATTATTGGCTGTAAATACAGAAATCCGACGAGACTTAATGTGATCTTTCATCGTATATGAATTGTTCTTTCAACTGAAAGCTATGCTGCTGTTTGAATTGTGGGATTATCATTGTTACTATACAGTCGCCATTTATAACCAACAAGTACATCGAAACAATTGTAGGTAAATGGCTATGGCAGGCGACATTAGGATATAAGCAAAAGGAACAATCTGTTGATACTGAAAGGCCTATATATTAATGTAATATACTATTGTAATAAATGTTTACATGTCAACATTACTCAGGCTTTCATTACTAGAATATTTGGAACACCTATTTACCTAGAAGTAGGACCTGAAACACCTGATAGTGTTTTAAGGTGGCGTTCGCATTGTAGATGAGTTTCGGGAAAGTTTGAATTCCACACTGACAATTGTTTTTTTTTGATAATAGACTGAATCGTGTCATCTCCCGCGTATAATCCTAAAAGGTAATCAACTATGGGATATTTACAGATTTTACAAAAAGCTTATGTTTTTATTCAGTTATTGGTAAACCCCGTAAGCTATTACGTATCAGATTAGCTCTTAGGACGCGGGATATTATACGATTTAGTTTGCAATGAACCAAAATATACGTGTGGCGTATTTTAGGCGATGGCCGATTTCGAAATGTCCGGATTTTATTCCTTTGCAACTTTCGAGAGTAATCAAACTTTTTTGATTCTTTGTGGCTCATCGATCTTCTGGAATGATCACCAATTCAGTCATTTTATTCGGCTCCTAACATGCTTCTGAGTCTAATACAATATTGTTTGGCTTCCAATGACTTAGGTTTTTTATCAGTAACGAAATGGTAGTCGATGAAATAGCTCAGTTGGAGAGAGCAGCAGGTATAGTAACACGAACCTTTTATCGAATAGTGGGTCATTTTAGCGGTACGTTAGATTCTTGGAAACAGCATATCCTCCAGGTTAAGAATCATACATACATAGTATGTTACAGCAAGTATTACTCAGCTGGGCTGAGAGCATTCAAATCACAGGATAGGCTAAGCGTTATCTGATGAGAATACCTTAATTAATGGTGTTACTATTCCAAATGCTGCTTTAGTGTATAATTTGACAAATCGTGGACAGGGAGTCGAGCTAGAAGTCAAATCTGTTAATCGGGCAGGTCTACGATGTCCTGTTGTGTAATTTTCGGGAAAATACACTGTATGACATATTTGAAGTCACTAAATATTCATTATTATTATCATTCATGATAAAAATATACGAGTACCTCTGTCCGCAAAACGTTAATGGGTTAAAAAATCTCACTCACTTTACAAGTTGTGGCTGACCAGTAATGTGTAAAAGTTAAGTGCGTGCATGAGGAATTCTGATCGTATCTACTTGATTTCACTATTTCGCAGTGAAGCAGCTATCTGAAAAATGACTCTATTGATATTTGGGAACAACATGATTTGAAATCATAAGGAAGATGCAATGTGACGTAATAGTACGTTTTGAACGGATTTCCAGCAGCGTAATTCGCAAAATAAATGAAAGTTAATACGGCTCTATATCCCATTCGTAGTTCATTCATGCCGAGACAAAACACAACATTCCCAAAGGCGGGATTGTACAGGTCCGTATTTTCCTCAATGGTCTTAAATAATCTAACAAAATAAATGATTATTTTTATAGAAAGAAGTGCACACACTTTTCAAAATTCTTTATTCGCTGGAAGTACTTGAATCACCGTCCGAATGGTTAATATTAATTATTACAGGTTCAATTTGAATATCGATCATATTGTCCAGATCCCACATCTTGGTCTCGATTGTCTCTTGAACGTGATGATGCAATATTTCCAATGGTTTGCCGTCACTCTATTGACAGCTTCATAAAACAAATCTTTCAGGTCAGAAAATGTGAATGTTCTATTGTTGGAAGCCAAGTTTAGTGTAGCTAAGTTTTCACCGTGGGCTCATAGATTCAGTCTACTTGACATAATTTTTACAACACAAATGACGAACTGGTAGATACACGTACCTACCTGACGGATCTTTAGGACAGTAGTTAGTCCATCCAAGAAGGCTTATCTTGCTGATTTAATTGTAGTGTCAGCCCACACTTTAGATTTTGCGTGTCCTGTATTTATAAAGGTTTCATCCAAGTAAAAAATCTTTCTGCCCTGATCGCGGTATTTCTTTATTGATTTTAAATAATTTCTTCTCCAAAAAATAATATCTTGGCTGAAGCTCTTTGAGTATACTATAGAATGTGGTCCTTTTGAAAGTAGATCTTTATCACTATTAACCTCCTGTAATACTTAAATTGATGGACTTAGCATTCCGATCAAAGTTATCAACTGTATCCAACAGCTTCGTGTGATGCAGCCTCTTGTCTGGTGGAGACAATTTTTTGTTATTTTTTATATTCTTTAACAATGTTGAAAATTGTCTCAGGACATAAGCCTGTTTTGTTCGTCACACGTCTTTCAATATCATAAATTTTCATTTCAGGTGTTAAGGACACATTTTTTTGCCTGAATATTCAAATGTCCGATCTTGTCACGTTGTCGGGGAGGAGATATCACTGAAGAGGAAGCATGGCTGGACGAAGCATTGGGAGAAATATTTTCAGTTTCATCCACTGTATCCGTAGACGACCTGCTAACGTGTAAGCACACGCTATGTAAGCTCCGGATATGAACAGCCGGCGTGCCGGCGATGTCCCGAGCCTGAGTGCTATCCTGTCGAATCCTGCACTTGTTCGTAGTTTTATGACCGAATGACCAATAGCTATTGCAAGGCTTAGGCAGCTGCCGCTTTGCCGCGGTGCATCTTTGTTGTGCCGTTGCATAAATGGGCTACGAATAGGGTATAGATGTGTATTTACCCCACAGCACATCTCTATAAAAATTCGATTGTGCTAGGGAACAAAAAAAATAGAATCAGATAATTGTATAAGCCTCAGTGAGATTTGTTTGGCGACCATTTCGATTAGTATACCTATTTTAACTAGATGTACAATGGCGAGTACCATTCGTAATTCTCTTGCAAATCTTTTTTTTTATTTGACAGGCGTGGTGCCCTATTCCAGTATCGTACTATGATGGACCCTGGTGTATTATATACCAGGTATTATAATCGACGAGTTCCCACTGCTGGTTGGTTCGAAATTGTTTCATTTTCATACTGTACCTGCTTTCTTACACTACTTAACATGCAGCATGATCTCATATGAAGTCACAACAAGCAATTAAAAAGCTATAAAATTCAGTCATGAAAATTATTGCGTCCAATGAGGCGACTTTGTCATCTCAGCAGGCTTGGAAAATGTGTAGATACAGAAGGGCACTGAGGACAGTTGCATTTATTTCATTTAAAGGATAAGGAATATAGAATAGAAATTAATATAGATACAAAATAGAAATAGATATAAGATACTGACAGTGAAATAATTTTAAGTTTTCTTTCCAATGAAGCAAGCCAGAATTCGTAGATTGCCTCCTTCCCCCATTGGACAAAGTCATCGATCCACACCTAGATAGAAGCCAGAGGCGAGACAAGGGACTAAATGACTGCTTAATTTTTAAGGAGGATGAAGTATACTTACTTCAAGAAAATTCATATCGTGTATTTCTGACCGTCTTGGATTGTAACTAGGTAATGATTTGGATATTACTTATCAAAACCCAGGTAATTATAAGTTGCTTTGCACAAGAATAAATGGTGGACCTCTAATAGTGCATGGCATTCAACACACTCCTTGAGATATCTTGAGTGATCGCTCGCATACTATGACTACCTAAGTATTGTTGGACTCACAGAGCAGCCTTTCTCCATGAAAAATGTCTACAGGTGATATCCACCTGACGTCAAATATGGTGTGTGGATGTCAAATTCAGAGTTTTAGTGACAGACTATAAATTCACGTATTGTGGTCACAGATTGTGGTAATCGGCGTAATGTCCCTGTTGAACCAAAAGAACGAATCGCGACTTTTGAGGAAAGTCCCGAAATGCACCGCTGCTAAGGATGTCCTGGACTTCAGCAAAGTTGGAGGACTTCGACATCACATAAAGACCCTTAGGGAGGCGATCATATTTCCCCTATTGCATGGACATATTTTCTCGCACTTCAATATCAAAGCACCAAGAGGAGTTTTGTTCTATGGACCACCAGGAACTGGAAAGACCTTGGTCGCGGGAGCGTTGGCTGCAGAGATCAACAGGGAAGGCATCGGAAAAGTTACGTTTTTCCATGTAAGATGAACAGATTTTATGCAAGCTCATTAAACGGATTTAAAAAATTGTGACGAGTAGGTATAATAAGCTTCACCATCTGTAGTAGGTACTTGGTCAATACGCCCCAGTGTTAGTTTCATCTGCAAAAACGAAACTAACGAAGTAGCTGGTTTGTTTCTTAGTAGCACGGCACTTTGGATCTTTGTATCTTTTTGTACTGCTTTCTGGATTCTCGACTCATAATTCTGTTTGATCTTGAAAACTTGAATCTAACGGCTGGTCGCTAACAGTAATACGAGTATGTAAGCAAACCGAGATTAACTGATACCGAAAGCCGTGTGCAGCAATTTTTCAGTAGAATAAACTGCTCGTCTTAGTCCAAAGACTCGGATACAATAGGGAATCTAATTATCTTCTAAAAAAGCTTGTACCACGCAGTCATCTTAATACCAGAAATCTGAGGAATAATTCCAACTTCAATATACCTAGTTATAAAACTTATGTTTTCTATCGTAGCTTCACCTACAATGCTGTGAAAACTTATAATGCTCTTGATGCTTGCATTTAAAAAAAAACATCAAGAACCATCGTTTAGGATCTGCTAGCCAATCTAGTTACCAAAGATTTGATTTGTTCACAATTCTAGTCAGGCGCTATCATATATATCTATAGCTTATTGTTGTCCCTGTTTTATTTTCTATAAAATTATACATACATTGTTAATTAAATAAAATGTGTTTAGGAGTCCATTAAATAAAATCATTGACTCCAAAAGAAGCAAGTTAAGTTATACTTAATGAATAAAATCTTCGCAGTTTCACCCGCTCACAGTCCATTTCTTAACTGGTCATAGATTAGGCCAGTACCACTGAAAAATTGTTCTCTTGCTACTGAGCTTGGTGGACACGACAAATATTGGCGGACAATCGAGTTCAGGGGTTTGAATTTAGAATGTAACTTTCCACTATTGTGAGGGCTCGTCACTGATAAGAATACGTTTTCCTCATTTGTACTCATTAAGTAAACCCTTCATATTGGTATTATCACCTGATGGTGATGATCATACATCGCAACTCAATAATATATTTGATAAAACCTCCGATTTAAAGTTTTCGGGACCGAAATCGAAACCCGAAGTTTCAGAACAGTCGGAAGTTCCGACTTTTCGGAATCTGAATCGAATCTCCGAAACATCCCAGCTACACAGACGATTTACCTATTTTGTATGTCATTGTGACGTACCCGCCAAAAACCGTGAAAGGAACGGTACTTTCAGCATAACTGGATGCGCCACCATTTTCAAAGTATTCTAACCGATTCGCTTCCATCAATTCAATCCAATTTATCTGGTAATCTATCGCCACATTCCCTCGTAGGTTAATCTGAATATCTATTTTTAAATGATCAACAGGTTGAATACTCAGTCTCTGATCTTTGCTTTTAAACAAGATCTTTTACTCATAAACTGCACCTGTTTGATGTGAAAGCCTTAACGTGATGTGAACCTATGTAAAAAACTGATATGTTACTATTTACCTGCTTCTATCGTCTCCATAGCGTAAAGGTGCAGATATGCTAGAAAAATGGGTAGGCGCATCAGAGAATAGACTGCGCGCTCTTTTTGAAAAAGCAACAAAATGCAGGCCGTCGATAATTTTCTTTGACGAAATAGATGGCTTAGCGCCAATTCGTTCCGACAAAAATGACCACATCCACTCCAGTTTGGTGGCCACCCTGCTGGCCCTAATGGACGGTCTAGATACTAAGCCGGGTGTCATTGTCATTGGAGCTACCAACAGAATTGAAGCGGTGGATCCTGCTCTTAGAAGACCTGGAAGGTAAATTTACTCATTATTTATTTATTTGTACACCACTCAACAGCAACAGCCATTCACAGAGTAGGACACAGTCCGAACTTTGAACATACACAATTATTCCATATCAGAAATAAGAGTACGTGGTTCAGACACAAGGATGATATTTACATATATTTATAAATACCATACTGCTGATAAGAAAACAATCGATGAGACCTCAAAGAAGTATGTTTAATTTCTCAGCAACGGCATTAACCCAACGACAAGGATAAACTAGTGGAGGAAACTTTAAGCTGTTTGTTCTAGAGCTGGGCAAATGAAAAGTATCACATTATCAAGAGTTCAAACGCGGGAGAAGACAATTAAATTTTAAATCAATACAGTTGTGCTATATATACTAAGTGACATATAAATCCGAACACCCAGTTTAAATGGTTTTATTTTAATAAAAGTTGGTGAATGTATTTATCTTACTGTAAATAACAAGTGAAAAAATTTTCAGCCTTATCAGTTGGACATTCCGGTTTTTATACTGCTTTTTTTTAATTCACTAACGCTCTAAAAATGAATATTTCAGCCGCAGTAAAGAATCAACGTTGGCGGATTTTGGTTCTTGACATCCTTTACGATCGGTTACGATGCCTAGAGTACGGAGACCTGTACGATTTCGTCAACTTAGTGAGTTTGATAGGGGCCGTATAGTGGGACTTCGGGAAGCTGGACTTTCTTTCCGGGCAATTGCAGTTAGAGTGCAAAGAAGTGTAGACACTGTGGTTAGGTGTTGTCAGGCATGGCTTCGAGAAGGCCGTACGCAAAGAGCAAGGGGCACTGGACGCCGCCGTAGAACAACAGACCGTGAAGATCGCCGCCTAAGATTATTGGCCTTAAGGGACCGTTTCTCCACTACCAGGTCCATTGCAAATGAATGGTTTGCAGCACACGGAAGACCTATTGGCATGCGAAGTGTTTACCGACGAATGAGAAGTTTTGGATTGTTTTCATACCGGCCACACTGGGTCCTCCCTTTAACTCGAGAACACCGACGTAATCGACTTGAGTGGTTCAGACAACGGTCACTCTGGGATCAGGAATGGAACAGTATTGTCTTTAGTGACGAGTCTCGATTTTGTTTAGGCATGCACGATGGTCGTGCCAGGGTTAGAAGTTAGACTTGGTGAAAGGAGGAATCCACAGTTTTTTGTTGAAAGACATGTTCATCACACTGTTGCAGTTATGGTTTGGGGTGCTATAGCTTATGGTTCCAGGTCACCTTTAATCTTCATTAGAGGTAACATGAACGCGCAGCGTTATATCTACGGAGTTCTAGAACCCCATCTTTTACCCTATCTTGACTCCCTGGCAGATCCAACTTTCCAACAAGATAATGCCCGACCACATGTTGCAAGAGTCACAATATACTTCTTTCAACATAATGATGTCACATTGTTACCATGGCCACCAAGATCTCCCGACTTATCCCCAATTGAGCACGTGTGGGATATTATGGGTAGGAGATTACTCAATTTGCAACGTCCTCCTCAGACTCTAGAAGCACTTCGAGAGGAGTTGGTGGTTGCCTGGAATGAGATACCACAGGAGGACATTGACCACCTGATCAGAAGCGTGCCTAGGCGCGTTGGAGAATGCGTAGCACATCAGGGTGCATCCACACATTATTAAAGGTCAAAGGGCTTTAAAGCAGTGCAATCATTTTGAAATTTTTATCATTTACTTATTATGCTTCATTAAGTACTTATACAAAATTTTATTAAAATAAAACCATTTAAACTGGGTGTTCGGATTTATATGTCACTTAGTATATTACGCGCGAACTTAACGGAGCATTTATCACGCCTTTCCATTGGACCTTCTGTATGAAAGCCTTCTTCTAAAGTTTTTTGACGGTAGTCAATTGGCAAGTGACTATTTTTCTTGGAATAAAGGTACTTTATTAATTGTTCCGGCATTTTCAAGTTTGTCTGCCAAAAATTACACAGCCCATAATAAAGCCCAAGTTTTTGTAACTATGTCTCCATATGTCCATTGAAGCAAAACTAACTGTTGTAAATGATACCTAAATATGTACTTAGCTTCAATTAAGCGATTAAGAAGCGTACCATCAATATCATAACCAAATAACGATTACGTGAGTTATGCAGGCGTGCTTACCACATTACACTTCGCTGCGTTTAAGGACATGATATTTTTGCGACACCAGCGGTTAGGCATGCTGATATTAGTTTGGCGAAAGCTGTGTGACGCTAAGTCGCTAGTTTACTCAACAATACTAAAATATGTATGAAAACGGCGAAAAGGAATTTTCAAGAAGCTCTACGACGACGGAAGAAAAGATTCTTAAATTTTATTCCTTTGTAATAAGTCCAACGGTTTTCAAAAATATATACATCACATACACATGTACGAGTACTTAGTATCACTGCACGAAGCATCTCTCACGCATGATAGTATCAAACGACTCACTGACCAAAACTAGTGTCATTATCTTCCATTTTCATCAAACACATGTAATACAAGCCATAGTATTGCGATAGCCATACAATTAGTGAGAAATACTGAGTGAATATACTTGACTACATAAATATGGATATTGGGAAAATACTGAAAAAGGAAAAAATCTCTTAAACATATTAAAGCTTGTAAGAAAATGAAAGCATGATATTAGCTGGGTTCTTACATATTTCTTTTGATCTTTCCTTTATAGACAAAATTAGACGATAACTTGCAAATTGCGGCTCAAATATTTTCCTGTAAGGTTTTTAATTAACAATTCTATATTTATTTTTAAATTAAACTGCTAGACAAGCCAGGTACTAAAAGGACGTATGAGCTTTACAAAGTGACGGAATTGTGTCAGAAAGACTGCTTCTGACAATAATATAAAACCTAGCTTTCTTATTTTCCAAAAATTATCAAGGGCCCTGAAAAGCAAAAAAAAATAGAGGCACCTAAAATATATAACACAACCTAGCTATAGCATTGGGCTTTCGGCTCATTTCTGAACCATCATTATGCAGGGTGTAAAAAATTAGATAGATGTATAGATAGATAGATATGAGTAGACATATAGATAGATAATAATCGTATTCAATGACATGAATAAGTAGTTAACAAAACATAAAAATACAAACTAATCTAACTTACTCAACCTGATAATCAGATGATATAATATCAAATGCATATTAACACTAACTAGGCCATGCGAATAGTGAATAATGAATGTATCTTTATTTCTAATATTTAAAGAGTGAATGTTATAATTTGTTTTAGTTTTATCGTTAAATGATTTTGTAATATACTTTTGACTATTCATAATACCATTGAAAAAGATCCCAGATATAAAAGTCTTCTATTTGCAATATTTAACCATTGAAGTTGATCAATTTTATGAGAAATACTTCCATAATTTCTCAAGCCATATATGAAGAGACAGCACATGTTTTTAACCTTTTGAATTCTGATTTTTTGAGGCAAAAGCCGTAAAGGAAATTGCTTCATATAATCTTTTTTTCAATCTATAGTTTAGGATATGTCGGCTGCCATATATTTTTTTCTATGAAATGTCCTGTTTCTGTAGTATTTTTTTTTCAATTCAATTTCGGATTCTTGGGATAAATCAACAGGTGTTGAAAAATACGTTAATCAAATTGCCAACATTTCGGCGTTTATTTTACGCTTTCCTGCGGACTATATAGAATCGGAAAAAATACATTAAAAAGTCCAAATTTTTAAATGTGGCAATGAAGACAAAAAGTCCGTTAACGAATTCGCTAAAAATATACAAGTATATGAAAAAACTATAGAACGAACAAACAACGGCCACAATAAACACGCGTACATATTAAAAGTTTACATGTGAAAATTCAGACTCAAACAAGTTAAACATGTTTTCTTTAAAAAATGGGACATTATAAAAACCAGGTTTGAAAAGACGAACAAATATGCAAAACTTATGAGGTCAACTATGAAAATAAAGGAGAGGGCTTAAAAAACAAAACAAAGAGATGCCAGTTTGACTGCCTTAAACTAATTAAGTGATGCAATCAATATATTAATATTTTTTTACATGTCCTCAAAGTTAGCCTTGCACAAAATTTGGCAGGATTATTTAGCGTTAATCCAGAGTCGAAGTAAACCTGATTGTTCACGCCGTTTGTTAGGGGACTGTATCTCTGAAACGTTGCGATATTTCAAGAACCCAAAAAATCGCTTTTATAATTTTTGCTTCATGCCTTTACAAGAATATAGCATACTAGTTATTCATACAGGTTCGACAAAGAGCTGTACTTTCCCCTACCAGGCGTCGAAGCCAGAAAAGGGATAATCGAAGTTCACACCGGAAGTTGGAACCACCAACTAACTCAAAAATTTATAGACAAACTGGCTGATCTGACAGTTGGTTTCTGTGGAGCTGATATTCAAGCACTTTGCTCTGGAGCAGTGCTATGCTGTGTCAAAAGGCAGTATCCGAAGATAAATAATATTGCATCGAAGGTTAAAATTGAGGCTGAGAGCCTTAAGGTAGAAGAGAGTGATTTTCTGGAGGCCAAGATGAATATTGTACCATCTACAGTGAGACAGGGACATAGGATGAGAAATTTGAGTCATATTATCACACCTTTGCTGAAGAGACAACAAAATAGGGTCATTAGGTATGCAAGAGTAAGGTTTAAGGCCATTTTATTGTAGCACAGGAAAACTTATCTTGCTGGGTCGGACTTTTTTCCTAAATTCCACCGAGCGAGTTGATTCCATCGCTTTCATCATTAGGAAGTGCTAATATCAAATCCAAATGCATTTGACAAATAATACTTGGCCATTGGTTCAAAGGTTTAGACGATGCACGAAAATGAAGTCATATTAATTGTCAAACAGCAATTATTTTCCATCAATCTTCATTAATGTGTAGTATATATTGACTTAAAACTTCTTAAAGCAATGCATGCTGATGCATCTTATATTTACGAGGTCTGTAAATTGAGTGATGAGACTGATTTCTTAATTGTTTTTTATTCAAACATAATTACAATTTTATATAGTCACCGTCAAAATAACTTCCTCCTTCTGAAGCCACACAGCGCTGGATATGGTTCTTCCACTCCTCACAGCGGTGATGGAACTCTGATACTGGAATAGCCTTCAGCTGGTCGGTTACAGCCGTTTAAATGTTCTCGACTGTCCCAAAATGAGTTCCCTTGAGCTGATTTTTTAACTTCGAGAAGAGATAAAAGTCACAAGGTCTCAAGTCAGGCGAATAAGATCCCGAATTCGGTCGATATTTTACTCGGCTCTTAAAGACGAAGGCCTTCCGTTTCGTGATCCATCTTCAATCAAATCTCTACCTTCTGAAAATGCCACTAAAAATCCTGGGCTCTTGACAAGACACTCTCCGAAGGCCCGTTTAGCAAGAGTTTCTGTTGCACTGGGCTCAGGTCTGAAGTAAAACCTGAAAGCACACCGTTGCTTGAAACTCATTTTTAGAACACAATAGAAAAAACTGTCACAAAAAAATCACTACGCACAACCAAATGACTCGAGCGAGTTCAAACTTCTAGAGAAGGCTTATCATGTTCCCCTGGTTCCCCTCCAAGCCCGGCGAATCCAGTGTTTCCAGATCGAATGCTACGTTGCCAGTTTCATCACTTAATTTGGAGACCTCGGAATACGATACTTTGATTTTAGATTCAATCATTTCTCTCTTCTAAATATAGACCCCAACCTCCCAAGTCTTTACCCAGATTTTCCATTTCACGATCCCAAATTTGTTAACATTAGATGTCTATAGCCCTAGTACAACCTTGATCAAAGTTTTACTCTCTAGGATAGAAGCGTGAAAAAAATTAGATTTAAACTTCTCACAAATGAACAAAACCTTATATCGTCGTTAATATTTTTCGCTCTTCTCAGGTCATTCTAAATGCGAAATGCGTTTTCTGTTCTAGATACATACAGTTACTTTGGCCACACTTTTTACAAGAATGTTACAAGTATACACTTGGAGAGAATCGTTACGCGGGGAGGGTACTCTTGATAGGCTCAAATTTCCAAGGTCTGAATACCCATTTGATGCCTTCTGTTCTGAAACATTTGGAGCATTTGCCGACATTTGTTTTCGACTCCAAGATCTTTGATAAAATGGAGACGAACCTGGCCAGTGCACAGTCTGTTTTTCCTGCTGTTATATTGTTGTCCAGAATTGATGAATGGTAATACCATGCATTTTTGCCTTGTCGAAAAGTTCCTCGCCCAGTGGCGGGGGAAATAAAAAAAACATGCATATTCCATATTGAGTAAGTAGTTCAAGTTGCTTCAATTGTGATCTCTTCTAGGTGGGACTACATAGATGACTGTGTCCAACACAGCATCGTCTCAACTCTGGAAGATATCCATGCGGGATTGCCAGTTCTTACAATTGCCTCGTGTACTACAGATATACCACTGAGGCTCCACAACTTCTTCTATAATAACAGTACCATTCTGATAAAAATAGATGACCCAAATGACGCAGAGAGGGAACATTTTTTGGCACCACTGTTTTTTGGGGATAAATGTCTGAGCTTACATCGGGTATTGGAAAACTGCAAGAGATCTGCAAAAAAGGTATTAATATCAAGCTCTCGGGTACATTGACCACGATCAATCAATTTTTTCAGTTTTTGTTTGTTGACCAGCCAGTACATACGAATGTTGGACTCTATGCTCCGGCCCCCTTCCTATTGTAATAAAGAGCTACATTTATGTCTTTTACATGCCTGCTTAGTTTCCATTAGACTTCACTTAACTTCTCCCGATGTTTATTTTTTTTAAACAGTTCGCAATTTTGAGATAAAGTTCGTTTAGCAGGTCTCCGTAATGCTATAATATCTTATTTTGTAAAACAAACTAAGTAAAAAGCAGAAAACACCAAATTAATTTGACACAAGGACCTTAATATTTTGTGAACCTAACCTACTGAGATCCCTTGTTTTACTGTCAACCAGACTCATTAAGCATTCGTTGAGAGGTTCGGGAGAGGCTTCAGGATTACCCAGAAAAACATGTGTCGTTGATATTTTAGAAGAGAATCATGTTTTGTAGGCAGCCAAATCTGAAGGTGAGACCATAACAAAGCCTAACAAAGAGAATAGCGAGGAAATAAAAATCGAGGAGGTTCACAGTTTGACAAATGGTAAAAGAAAAATCGAAGATCACACTATGAGTAATCAGGCATTGGTTAAGAAAATAAAGCTGTGTGAGAACAAATTTGGATCTTATCAGTCCAAGAGTTACATAAATACGGGTGAGAAAAATAACTTAAGTGTATTGTGATTAAATTACAGTTATCAAAAATACGAATAAGACTTTTTGTTCAGTTAGATATTCAGTCGAAACCAAAAGAGAAATTTCGGGAATGGTATTTGAAAGAAATCATTTAACACCTTCCCTGACTTTTTTACACCCAGTTTGCTGTAGGTACTATACAGGGTATTCCTTAGTGACAGTGTAATACTATTGTAGATATCTTTATGAAATTTGGTACACATCTTATACGCATCAAGGTACAATTTCTGATGAAATAATTTTATCCTGTCACGTCGTACGGGTTTTGCATTGAATATTTTCCGAGACAAAAATAAAAACCATTTTTGAAATCTTCTGAGCAAATTTGATATTTTGATCTTCTTTCGTTTGTTGTTTTACTTCAGGTAAAATCACCAAAAATCTGATGCGATGACTGCTATGGGGAAATCGTGTTTTTCCTTTTTTAAGCTTTAGAGTTCGATTATTATCAAGAATGGTACAAAATATTTTTTGGAGTTCTCATTCAGTTTTGAACAAATTTGTTTAGCTGATGTACAAACGATTTCCGTACAGCAGTAATCGAATCAGGCTTTTAGCGACTTGACCCTGAAGAGTTATTTTATTGAACGAAAACCATGCGTTGCACTAAAGAAAATGTTTAAAACAAATTTGCTGATTAATTAATGAGGATTTCAAAAACGTTTTTTACTTTCAGAGAAAGCTGTGGCGTACCATTTTTTTCTCCAAAAATGTTCAACTCAAAACCCGGACGGACGCCACTGGTAGAAATGTTAAAATATTGTTTGTACATCAGAAGATGCACCTGGATTCGAAGATGTGCCTGAATTTCATAAAAATGTCTACAATAGTATCACATACATAAATAAAAGTAATAAAATAAACATTTTATTCTGAAAATTTTACCCCTAGGTATGTTTTCAAAGGTCAAGACGTTTAGGACATACGTTCGTATGTTTTTTTTTGCCTTAAAATAAGTCGACTATTTGAGGGAGGAGATTAATATTTAAATATTAGCATGTCATTAAGCTACACCTTGAGTACTTTTCTTCAGACATATCTGTATTCATTCAATTGTTTAAGCACTTGCAACCGTACACTTACAGATAAAGCACCCAAATCAGTGGAATCTGTCTTAAATGAAAGACCAAGTAGACTTGAAAGATATCAAGCCAGGAAGAGGTACTTCACCAGGGTTCTGTCCGATCTGCTGAATCGGCGAAGTATGTGGAGAAACTATTCTAAGTACGTAATATTATTATTTACTGTTGGTTAAGTACCCGTGTCTCAGATATGTACATGTCCCACTTAAAACTACAGCGATCGATTTATCAAAGACAGATATGAAAGTTCGGGTTTATAGTATAGTATAGTAAAATATTTTTAAAAACTGGATTATATTCAATTTTCGAATTCTAAGCGAGATTCTAAATTCCTTGAATTATAACAGCTTTTTCTCGTTTATTTTTGCCTTTGCTATATGATTTGTAACGATTTCTTATAGTAGGGGACCATCTTTAGAAGATTTCATTCCGGATTTTGATAAGAAATAATACTGAGTGGTCAAAAAAGCATAATGAACATTAGACTTTTAGGACCGGTCAGTTTTTTTTTAAATGGAAATGAACTTTTGATACGAATAAGGTTAATTTTGTAGATTGTCTACTTCGGAAATTAATAGTTTCCGAGATATATGGAAATATTGATTTTCCTCAAGTATCCCTAATGGAAGGTGGACTTCTAGGAAGTGCTGGAGAGATTTCTGTGTTGAGATTGTCTATGCGTCATCTTCTTTCTTGCATGAGCTTACCTTGTTCTTTTTTCACAGCCTCGTGGTTCTTGTCTGAAAATTTCATCAAAATCGGAGCACTACATTACATTTGGTTATAAGTTTTTTGTAATGTACATACCATGTAGCCTCAAAAAAAAATATCTAATTTTTGAAAATTTTCTCGTGAGTGGCGTGGGGAGTAGAAAAACCGCGGTCGATAAGCAATAAAATCCATAAGGTTTTGTTGGTACATTAATAGTTACTTCACAGCCACTCCTACTATTTTTTCTATCGTGCTCAAAATATTTTTTGTCTTAATAATGACCAAACTAAGTGGAAAACGATAGTTATGGGTGTCCTAGAAATATCAAGATTCAAGGTTTCTCTGACCAATCAGACAGAACGCTCGACCAACGCAGTCTTTGTTGAAATTTAGCTTAAAGTTCGTTCAATATTTATATAAATGAGCTGATTTTATTGGTCAAAGAGTCTGTCAAACAGAGAGTCCTCATGAAATTGACACTTAGAGTCGAATGGATCTCCCAGTTGAAGGGCAATTATTCTGAGTATTCATTATATATCTTGTCAGTTTTGACGCTTCAGATTGAAAGGAGAGCTGTAAAATACGTTACAAAGGAAGAAAACCCCATTGTTCGACTTGAGGACATTGTCAATAACCTCAAGATTACCTTGCTTACTACTTAAGAATTGCAGGGTCTATCTATCTATCTATTTTGGTTTATATGCACATTCTACATTAACGGCCGAGAGTTTAACTTATAACATACAATGCCTTCAGAGAGAAATCACTTTCCTTCTTCGACAGCTGACAAATTGGAAATCAAGTAAAATGTCCTCGTGATAAGAACGCCTTGAGGATTGATTATGCATATCAATCAGTATTCTCGCTATGGTATCGTCAGCTTGAGGGGCTCACTTAACAATTTCTTCATTCTAGGACCTATGCCCTCCGTAGCAACTTTGGAGGCCTGACACCAAAAAGAAACATCATGACAGCGGCCGTATCACCAGCCATTGCCTTCAAAAGACCGGTCGAAGACCAAATGAAGCAGATCTACCAGCTGTGGAAGCATACCGCGCTGGTGACGTCACGTCACATGGCTGTGGCTCAGTTAGAGCTGCTCTATGACGTCATATCCGCCTGCATCAGTATCCATCAACACTCTTTCGAAGCTTTGGTCGAGCATTTGGAGAATATTCTGAAGAAGATCGAGTATTCCAACCAGATTTCCGATGATCAGGCGAAACCAGAGCCAAATCCGTCAAAAAAGTGATTTTATGTATGGCCATTTTATTGGCCCAGTGTAAGAGTAAATATAAATATAAATATTCACTAAACATGTTCGACTTTCATTCACTAGTAGATGTTAAAATCTCTTACTTTTCTCAAAAAATAAGAATTTTTTGTTACCAGATGTCTCAAAGCGGCCCTGACACAATCCTCCTGGGTACGCCAAAATATAGCCTGGTGAAATTAACAACTTAATTTGACGAAAACCCCAAACAGGAATAGTCAATGTTGCTGGATGGATTAAAGAGATATAGTCTAATGTAATTATTTACACCAGTTGGCAAACACGACAAATGGGATAGGTTATGTTGTCAGACCGAACCCACTGTCTTGCCTTCTATAGAATATATTCAAGAAATGTCTGCAAAGATGTAAACCCAGTTCCCTGATAAGTCGTGATGTTACAAATAAATTAACTCGCGCCTTGCCAGGCATTACAGGACCGAACACAGAAAGTTCGAGAATGAGGATAGCTCTCTGATTGTCAGTATCCATTTGTTGTTGCCACAGTGTGGCTACGCTGTACCTCCTCTGATACAAGAGGTTACATATATACTTGTTTCTGGGGTCCTCATACATAATTATTGCTACTACCTAAGGTATATTCCTCTATAAATCCAATGATGATGTGCTATCAGGAACACAGAAAACCGAGGAGATATGAACGTTGATTCTGCTTCTGCTATGATACGAGCAGTAACACTCGTCGTTACCGCGATCCTGATTATACAGTTGTAGATTCCTGAAAGTTGAAAGGCTGCCAAGACCTTTTCCTGAAAATCAAATGACAAATATTTGCTATCGGGATTACAGAAAAACCAGTAGCCATTTCAGGATGACAGGCAAGCCAAGAGGTAGAAGCAACACGTCTCGTTCTCTCTGCGACCCTGATGTAAAATTACCTTTCTGAAAATCAGAGTTTCTTAAATTGAAATGATGATTTGCTGTCAGGATCACAGAAAATGCATAAGGTGTAAAGCTGTTCGATGATCCTGCCCCAATATCTCGATCTTGAAATGATTGATAGCTTTTATCAGGACCACAGAAACGCGAGGAGGCATACCTCCAGATGTGCCCTGCTGGTGCTATGGTACGTGCGGGACCTCGGTTGGCCGCGTGGGTCAGAGTGTCGTGCTACTGATCAGCCGGCCGGCCGGGCGACGAGTTCGAATCTCACCTTCGGAAATCACATTTCGAAGCCATGGATGGTGTGACGTCGTGTGTTTGTCCATAATTAGAGATGTATCATATACAAGATTGGATCTGGCTAATGGGACGCAATGTCCTAGTGCCAAAAAAAAAGTATGGTACGTGCAGCAAACCATCTCTTCGTTTCTGCGATCCAAATTATACAACCGCTTATTCTTGAAAATCGCAAAGCTGACCGAATTTTCTGCTTAAAATCAAATGACAAAGAGTTGCTATCAGGATCACAGAAACGTAAAGAGTTGTGTAAGCGTGATCTGCACCTGCTACGATACCAAATGCACATCTCGTCTTTTCTGCGCCACTGATATAGAATAGCTATTTTCTCTAAATCACAAGAGTGTCAAGACCTCTAAAAATCAATTGACAAATGTTTATTACCAGGATCACAGAAGCGTCAGAGGGTGCATATATTTACTCTGTTCGTGTTATGATACATACACATCTCGTCGTTCCTGCGATCCTGATATAAAACTGCTATTTGCTTAGATTGGCAAGTGTGACCAGACTATCTTCTAAAAATCAAATGACCAAGATTTGCCACCAGGATGGTAGACACGTAAGGAGATACGTAGGAGTACCCTGCTCCTGCTATGATACAAATATCAACCCCCTCTTTGAGCCTCATAAACAATCATTAATTCCTGAAAATTGCAAGGGTGACCAGACTTATTCAAAAATCAATTTATGAAGACTTGCTGTCAGGATCACAGATGCATGAGGATGTATGTACTATGTATGTGTACTCTGCTAATGCTATGATGCGTGTCGCAACACCTTACGTTGTCTCTACGATCCTGATACAAAATTGTCTTCCTGAAATTCACAAGGCAAATGAAAGTTTCCTCTAAAATTGAAATAAAGATTTTCTATCAGGATCATAGGAAATGCGAAAGGTGTAAAGTAAGGCACTATGCTCCTGCAGCGCATTAAATGATAGATATTTTCTATCGGGACCACGCGAGAAGGTATGTACGCGTATCCTGCTGCTGCTGTGTTATAAACAGCAACACATGTCGTCGTTTCTGTGATCCTGATATAGAATCGTTTTTTCTTGAAAATCGCAAAGCTGACCAGTCTTAAAATCAAATGACGAAGAGTTGCTATCAGGATAACAGAAACGCAAAGAGTTGTGTATATGTACTCTGCGCCAGCTGTGAAACTAGACGCAACACGCATCGTGGTTTCTCTTATCCTGATATACAATTGCTCGTTCCTGAAATTTGCAAGGCTGGCAAAACCTGTCTTAGGGCGCAGTGAGAAAGATATGCTACCAGGAACGCAGAAACGCGAGATGGTATGTACCCTGCTTATTCTATGATACGAGCGACAACGCACCTCGTGGCATCTGCGATCCTGATACACAATAGTTGATTCCTGAAAATTGAAAGGCTTACTATACTTCTAAAAGTCAAGTGAGAAATATTTGCTATTAGAATCGTGGAAGTGCGAGGGGTGGGTGTGTGTATTCTGCTCCTGCTACACTACGAGCGATAACGCCTCTCGCCGCTCCGGCGACCCTGATATACAATTGTCGATTCCTCAAAATCGCAAGCGCCACCAGTCATTCCTTTTAAAACGAAGGTTTGCTACCAGGATCACAGAAACGCGAAGAGGTATGTTGTGTACTCTGCACCTACTGATATACGAGCGGCACCACATCTCGTCATTTCTGCGATCCTGATAAATAGCTGCCGATTTCTAAAAATAGCAAGACAAAACCTTCTCAATTTAAACGGTGTTGATGTACCTGCCGCTTATTTCTTCAAAATCACAAGTGTGACCAGAGTATCTTGCTATTAAGATCACAGAAAAGCGAGAGGTGTTTATGTACACTATGCTTCTGTTATGATGCGAGATGCAACAACTCCCGTACCCTGCATCCTTGATGTACAGTTGTTGATTGATGAACATTGCAAGGCTGGCCAAAAGTTTCTTCTAAAAATCAAATAACGAAGATTGGCCATCAGGATCACAGAAGTGCGAGAGGGTATATATATATATATATATATACAGGGTGCTCCATAATTATTGCGACAAAATGATAGGGGTTGTAGAGGGCATCAAAATGAACAATTTTTCCTTATAAACCCCTGTTCGGAAATATGCCGTTTGGGCTGCAGCAAAAAAAAAGATCAGTTTCTTGAAACAGCTTACCTACAGTAATTGCTCAAAGTGTCCTCCACCTTGCTCAATACACAGCTGTGCACGATTGTTCAATGATCGGCGAACTCTATGGCATACCCCCGGTATGTCCTGAACATGTGCGGACGCGGCCATCACTCTTCCCAGTAGCTCTTGTTGGTTGGGAACAGGAGTTTCGTACACTAAAGCTTTCAGATAGCTCCAGATAAAATAATCCAGTGGGGTCAGGTCAAGTGACCGCGCAGGCCAAGGCACAGGGCCACCTCGGCCTATCCACCTATTTGGAAATTTGTCGTCCAAATACTGCCGCACTTGTAAAGAAAAGTGGGCTGGACCGCCATGGTGTTGAAACCACATGTTGGCTCTTATATTCAGTGGCACATTTTCTAATAGTTCCGGTAGCACATGCTGTAAGGATCGACCATAAGCATGCCCATCCAAACGTGGTGGAAGCAGATATGGCCCGATGATATGCTCGTCCACAATGCCGCACCAGATGTTAATTGAAAACTGATGTTGGTCTCTATGGATGGCTATGGCATGAGGGTTTTCTTCATCCCAAATGTGACTGTTACGGCTATTAAAATAACCGTCCTTTGTAAAACAGGACTCGTCAGTGAACAAAACGTAGCGACCAAAGTTTGGTTGCCTCAACTCCTGCTGCAGCCACCAACGACAAAAACGTCGACGCGGCAGATAGTCTGCTGGACCCATGACTTGGACTTTTAAAAGGTGGTACGAGTGTACGATAACAAAAATGTAAACACAGCAGGCTTTTTTTACATACCGGCGAGACCATGAAATGTGCTAGACGAACATTTTGCAGCTGGTGAATTTTTTGTTTCTCCTATGAGCTCTTAAGGTAAAATTAACTGTAGTGCTCAAACGGCATATTTACGAACAGGGGTTTATAAGGCAAAATTGCATATTTTTATGCCCTCTACAACCCCTATCATTTTGTCGCAATAATTATGGAACACCCTGTATATATATATAAACGCGAGGAGGTATATAGGTTGCCCAGTACCTGTCATGGTACGAGAGGCATCATCTCTCCTTGTTTCTGGGATCCTGATATTAAATTGCTAATTCCTGGAAATCGCAAGGGTGACCAGACTTTTCTAAGAATCAATTTATGTAGATCCGCTGTCAGGATCACAGAAACATGAGGAGATATGTATGTGTACCGTTCACCTGCTATGATACGAGGCGCAGCAACCATAGTGGTTTTTGCTATCTTGATACACAATTATTAATTCCTGAATTTTCTTATAGAAACTGTCTAAGAGCCCAGTGAGATAGAGTTGCTACCAGGAACGTGGCTACTGCGATCCTGATACAAAATAGTTGACACCAGAAAACTGGCTGACCAAACTTTTCTAACAGTCAAGTTTGAATTATTATTTGCTATTAGAAGCGTAGAATCGTGACGGCTGGGTGTATGTACTCTGCTCCTGCTATAGTACGAGCGATAACGCCTCTCGTGGCCCCTGCGATCCTGATATAAAATTCTTAATTTTTCAAAATTACAAGCGCCACTAGTCATTCTCTCAAAACTTAAATCACGGAGGTTTTGCTACCAGGATCACAGAAACGCGAAGAGGTATGTCGGGTACTCTGTACCTAATGATATACGAGCGGCATCACATCCCAGTAGTTTCTAAGAATCGAATGATCGTTTTATAGTACGAATATCAA